TATCAACAAGGAAGTGGGCCTGCAATGGAGGAGGGGGCGTGACAAAGAGACCATCTTAGCACCAACATAACTGCTTTGTTCCACTTTGGAGTAAGCTGTTGGGGGAAGAATCAGTTTTGTTGTGTGTTTCCTTGACTGATGAAGCCTTCTGGATGGAAGGCGAAACGTTTCAGCACAAAAAAAGAAACTGTCCAGTGTCCAGATGACCTGACTGAAAAATGTTGGATTGTATAAACTGGATTATTGAGCATGGACTTTGTTGTTAATATAATTTTTACTTTAAATTCATGCATGTGTCACAAAAGTTTTAAAACCAGTGATCGAGAACACAAAGTCTTTGACATTTGTTTTATGGAGTTGTTCAAATTGGCTTTTAATTAGTATGATTTTGTCTTATGTCATACGTATGTTGTTTTATCTTTTGTGTTTTTATATATTATCTTTTGTGTTTCTGTCTTATATTCTGTAAAGCACTTTGCTGTTTCTGACCTGTACACTGTGCTATATAAATAAAATTTAATAACTTACCAAAAAAGTGAGAAGCAGAGTCTTGTTCTAAGGAACAAGAGTTTTGCACCATGGTCAGAAAAAAACTCTGTCAACAATTTGATTCATAAAAACACACATGAGCTGTAAAATTCAATACAATAAATTTAGCTTTTAATCACAATACAGTGAAATGATGGCGCCGTTGTACGTGGCAGGTCGTCTCTCACTCTCCGTACTTTTCGTTATTCTGTTGTTTTTAAGTGAAGTCAAGGCACTATTGGTGTATGATCGCCAAACGTTATTAGATCTAAGGCCATTTATCCACAGTGTGGCTGCTTTTAATACATGGGAACATAAAATTCCACCCCAACTTCTGTCGGGTATTCCAGCTCACCTGTGCCGGGCTCCGGCACTGCTCCACCGGCGGAAACGTCATCGCCGCCGTGGCAAACGCGGTGGACGCCTGGTGAGGCTGAAAGCCTTTTTGTCACGGCGCAACGGTTCCCAGCCAGTTCCTGAAGTGTTTCCTGGCGTGTTTCTACCTTGGCATTTTCTGGAGCCGGTGGATGCTTGCCTGGTTTGTGTTTTTGGTGAAGATGCCCCCCGACGTCAGCGCCCCTGCCCCCCCGGCTCAGCAGGTGTGGAGTGAACCCACTGAACCTGACACAGCTGAGTCGGACCCTCCCTCAGCGCGACAACCCCGCTCCAGCTCCAGCCAGGATCGGCTTGGTGAACGCCAGATCGTTGGTCAATAAAACTTTTATCCTGAGGGATTTCTTCAGCTCCCATAACCTGGACTTCCTCTGTATTACAGAGACTGGGCTGAGTGAAGTTGAGTCAGCTGCTCTGTCGGAGCTTTTACCAACAGGCTGCTCTTATTTTAACTCCCCACGATCATCAGGCCGAGGAGGAGGAACTGCAGCCGTGTTTAAAGATGTTTTTAGTTGTAAACAGTGTTTTAAACAGCATCACTTCACCAGCTTTGAGCTGACCTGCTTTGAAGTGGGCCGCTCTGACCCGACATTCTGTGCTGTCATCTACCGTGCTCCCAAATATAATAAGGATTTTATTAGTGACTTTTCAGATTTTCTTTCTGAAATAGTGACTGGATATGACCATCTCGTTATTATGGGTGATTTGAACATCCACGTTTGTTGCCCAGACAAACCTCTGGTAAAAGAATTTTTAATTCTCATTGACTCTTTTAATCTGGTGCATTCTGTGTCTGGACCTACACACGATAAAGGTCACACTCTAGATCTTGTACTCTCTTTGGGATCACCTGTGTCTAATCTGGAAATTCATGATTCTATAATCTCTGATCATATGCCTGTAACATTCCAGACTGTTCTCACATATGCTCCTGTTAAAACTCACACTCCTGCTCAGAGCTGTCGGATTATTAACCCCTCCACTGCTGGTCAGTTCACTGAGGTTTTCTGCCAGCTCTGTCCACATGCCTCAACTGATGCTGAGGATCTGAGTTCTTGGCTCCATTCATCCTGTCTGACTGTGTTGGATACTGTGGCTCCTTTAAAGACCAAACAGCCTGGATTTAAACATGAGCCATGGCTTCAGAACAGAACAGCTTGAGCTGTCAGACAGGAATGTTGCAGAGCGGAACGCAGGTGGAGAAAGGACAAGCTGCAGGTGTCCCTTCAAATTTTTAAAGACTGTTGGCGCAATTACCAGGACACAGTTAAAGCAGCCAAAAAGGACTATTTTTCTAACTTGATTTTATCCCACAGCCACAACCCACGTGTTCTTTTTAGTACCATTGACTATTTTCTTAATTCTCCACAGACACCTGGTTTTGAATCATCTACTCAGTTGTGCAATAATTTTATGCAGTTTTTTATTGATAAGGTCACCTCTATAAGGGCTTCCATCTTATGCCCAAACTTTGACCCCTCTGTGTGTGTCCCCTGCTCTGCTGCTTTCAATCAGTTTGAGCTGGTGACTGTGTCATTTTTAGAGGACATGGTCACTCAGATTAAGCCTTCTGGTTCTCCATATGTTGCTCTTCCACCACACTTTCTTAAAGAGGTTTTCCCTTGTTTTAAACACTTGGTTCTTGACCTTTTTAACAGTAGTTTGTTGTCTGGAGTAGTCCTTGCTAATTTTAAACATGCTGTTGTGCAGCCCCTATTAAAAAAACCTGGTCTCGATCCCACTGTGTTGGGGAATTTTAGGCCCATCTCTAAGCTTCCCCTCCTGTCAAAAATCTTGGAGAAAATTGTTTATGCTCAGTTAAAATCCTTCCTGGATGAACATAACATCATGGATGTGTTCCAGTCTGGATTTAAAACTTTCCATAGCACAGCGTCAGCTCTGCTGAGAGTTTTTAATGACGTCCTCCTGGCATGTGACTCAGGTGATCATGTGATTCTTGTTTTACTGGACTTAACTGCTGCGTTTGACACAGTGGACCACACGTTATTGTCACGTCTACAGCATCAAGTAGGCATTGGTGGGACTGCTCTGGAGTGGTTGGGGTCCTATCTGACTGACAGAACTTTCTCTGTAAAAACTGCTGGGCATGAATCCTATTCTGCTCCTTTGTCATGTGGCGTACCTCAGGGATCAATTTTAGGGCCTTTGCTTTTTTCTTTATATCTGCTTCCTCTAGGATCAATTTTTAGAAAACACGCCATCTCCTTTCACTGCTATGCTGATGATTGCCAAATCTATGTTCCTTTGAGGCGAGTTGATGCCTGGTCCATTAAACCTCTTTTATCGTGTCTCGAGGATCTTAAAGCTTGGATGGCCCTAAACTTCCTGCATTTTAATGAAAAAAAGACTGAGGTACTTGTTTTTGGACCTAGTGGAGCTTGTTTGAGCCCTCTAGTCGACTTAGACCCCATAACAATGTACGTAAAGTCTACAGTTACAAATCTTGGTTTTAAGATGGACAGTGATTTTAAACTCGACAGTCAAATAAGGGCCACAGTAAAGTCTGTTTTTTATCATTTGAGAAAATTGGCAAAAGTAAAACCTATTCTTTCAAGGCAACAGTTTGAAACAGTAATCCATGCCTTCATTTCATCATGGCTGGATTACTGTAATTCTCTCTATCTCGGAGTCAGCCAGTCCTCACTCGCACGTCTGCAGCTGGTGCAAAATGCTGCTGCACGCCTTTTAACTGGAACAAACAAAAGACAGCACATCACACCTGTCCTGGCTTCTCTCCACTGGCTGCCCGTGTATTTTAGAGTTCATTTTAAAATTCTTTTGTTTGTTTTTAAGGTTTTAAACAGTCTTGCCCCCCCTTATTTAACAGAGCTTCTCCACCATTACACTCCACCTCGGTCACTCAGGTCTGCTGACCAGCTGCTCCTGGTCATCCCCAAGAGTAAGAGGAAGCTTCGAGGAGACAGGGCCTTCTCTGTTAGTGCCCCTAAATTATGGAACACTCTGCCTTCGTACATTCGACAGGCCCCCTCGCTGTCCATTTTTAAAACCCATCTAAAAACTCATCTCTATTCGTTGGCCTTCAACCCAACTGAGTCTTGATTTTACTTTATTTTATTGGTGTTGACTTTATCTGTTTAACTTGTTGTTTTATTGTGTTTTAAATTGAGTTGTGTGCTTGGGTTTGTAGCTCTGTTTTTATGCTGTCTTTTGTCTTGTTTTTAACTGATGTTTCAGCACTTTGTTTCAGCTATGGCTGTGTTAAAGTGCTTTATAAATAAAGTTGATGATGATGATGACAATACAACATATTTTGAGTTTGAGATAAATCAATAAAATGCAACAAAGCAAAGCAAACTGATGATTCTGAGTTAAAACTATTTTTTATTACCAGCTTAAAAAAAAAAACCCTCACCAACACATCTCATCTTAAAAACATCAAACACTTAGACACAGCTTTCACTTTCAACTTCGTATCTTTTGTGGGTTGAACACCCACTCAGCTTCACGCCTGAAACATTTCCTGGCAGTTCTTTTGCACTTGGGAGCTTTTGGGTCAAAAAGCATCTCAGCAGACAAAAATGTCAAAAACACCTGCCAAGTACTGTACTGAAAAAATCGCAGTACATCTGGATTCTCAGATTTACTCAGACACAATTAATAACTTAACTGGGAGCAGCGATGTTAGATGGAAAGGTGAGTGCCTCCTTGTGTTCACAAACAGACTCTCTTGGAGAGATTTCACAACATTTACATCACTACACAGCTGAGAATAGCTACATTAATGTAGCAGCAAATATTAATATTTGTTCCATTTGATGAATAAAGTTAGTGATAGAAAAACATGAAGGCGGTGAACACAGTCAAACTACCATGACAGGAAAAAAAAAAAAGCAAATCCTTTTACAGCACATGAGAAGCGCATCTAAAAACAGCAACCGCGCTTCCACACGTAAATGGAAACAACCGTTCGCTGGTCTTCATTATCTCGTGCCTGTTGGCGTTGGAGAACCCCTGGAATGAAACCTGTAGATTTCACAGCTTTATTTGAAGATTGATTTAGATGTGACAGAGAAAAAATATGTCCAACCAGTGTTCTCTCACCTTCTGGACACCCTGGACAGCCGGCTCCACATGCTGAATATAACAAAACATTTTACAAACATTTCAAGGTTTGGTACGTAATGAATAGCATCTGCTTTAGGATCATTTTACCTGCCATCCTGATGCTGAAGCTCTGCAATCCGATTCCTCCAGCAATAAATAAATTAGACATATATCAATAATGAATACTTGCTTAAATCTTAAAGGTAAAATGGAGACATGATTGATGATGTTCTTCTAAAGCATCTTTGTCCGTGTGATTTTCTGTCAGTGCTTGGACTGTTTTATTACTCACTTGTATTTTTTCACCATGAAAACACAGAAGACTCCAAAGATCACAGCGAGACTTGCTGCCACTGCTGCATGAATGATGACGTGGTTAACGCTAGGTGCGCCTGACAACAGAGTTTTAAAAATATTTTTTAGCAAAGAAGACTCTCAGTAAATACAGTTTATCAGCTTGAAAAATGAGGTCATACACAAAATTCAACAAGAAAGGAAAGAAAATCTTACGTTTCACGTTGAGTGCCACACCTGCAGATGATGTCCTCCCTCCGTGAAATGTTGCTGTGCAGGTCAGATCACTGGTGTCATGGATTTCCTCAGGAATAAAGGTCAGGATAGATTCCACCTCCCAGATTCCATGGTTAATGTCTTGATAGATCTCGAAGGTCTCCTCTTTAGTCCCCTGACTCCACGTGAGTGTTGGCATGTATGAGGGGCAGGTATGGCGGACCGAACACACGGCTGTGTAAGGTTCTCCTGGAGTGGCTGTCCCTGGATGACTGAGTACGGGTTTTGGAGGATCATCTATTGATGAAAAAGAAAGACATCAGTTAAAGAGCAAACAAATAATACTGATTGATGACATCATGAAAAGATGATGACGTACTGAGCATTTTGAGCCCAACGCACTCCTCAACAAATGAGAACTTGTCAATGGTCGGTGCGTTGTCTTCTGTTTTGACCAGTTCAATTCGGTAACAGAAAGGGCCGTTGTCATGATCATTGACCGGCATAAGTTCTAAGGTGCAGTTGTCCTGACCCAGACTTCCCAATAGCTTTGTTCGTTTTTTAAAGCTGTCCAGGATTTTTGTTTCATCGTCGTGGTAGATGTTTTTTGTGACTTGGTCTTTAAGATGCCAGATGCCTCGGAGTCTGGATGTAGGCAGAGCTCCCCGAGGATGGCTGAACGAACATGGCACCACAACACAAGAGGACACCAAGGCTTCAAGGCTGTTTTCAACAGACGCCTTCCACTCCTCACAAAACACAAGGCTGCAAACACCTGAAAATGATATAACACAAGAGGCTACAAATGACTAATAAATAGCAAAAAAAAAAAAAAAAAAAAGGAAAATAAGGAAATGTCCAAATACATTACCTGCCAAAAGCAGACAAAATGTGATTATCTTTTTCTCGTTGTCCATTCTGCTGAGGTGCTGGTGGTTTAACACACCGTGAATGTTTAGATCAAGTTAGAGGATATCAATACAAAAATTTGATTGTTTTTACAAAAATATGAAATATAGTAGACACACAAGTTTGTCTTTCTATCTTTATGGGGACTTTGCATTGACTTCCATTCATTTTTTCATTCATGTTTATAGCCTAACCCTGACCTTTACCCTAAACTTAACTGTTACCAATACATACCTAGCCCTAAACTTTACCATTACTAGTACATACCTAACCCTTAACCTGTTCCCAATTACTTTAGCCCTAAACTTAACCCCTAACCCACCAATGGCACTTCTTGTTATGGGGCCGGGGCTTTGGGGCCCCACACGGAGGAGTTGATCCTCATAATGTAATATGTGTTGGGAAATGGTCCTTACAAGGTAACAAATACAAAGACACACTTAAAAAAATAGCTGGGTTTTACTAATGCTGTGATATTCTCAGTGTGCTACAGTGTTGGATCACAAACAAAACATAAATGGGTAAAGTAAAATCAGGCTTAAGTATTTATATGATCTGGAACTGTGAATCTGATAAAGTTAAAATTTGTGTGTTATAAATATTACTGCCAATGTAAATGAATATCCTACAAGATAAAAAAATTAAGATTTTCTAAACAGATTTTATGTTGGGCTTTATGAATAGCTGTAGCTTGTGGGAAGAAAAAAACTGTGTTATTTAGGTTCGAGCATTTCCCTGATTTAAAATATAGTTTTTAGTTTAAATTTTACATCTGACCATTAAAAAAAAAATTTATTTAGTTGAATATGAAAGATGTTTTTTTATTTTATGTCAAAAAACTACAAATATACTGCATTTGGTAAAAGTGAACTGCTATAATACAAAAATAGTCTTGCAATTATAAAACATTTTTATAGATTGTAGTTTTTTTTAACAAATTTAAGTACAATTCCTTCCTATTTAATAAACATTACTGCAATATAATCAAACATTTCCACTAAAACAATTTGATGAAGCCCTTTTAAAAAGGACAAAATGTTGTTGTCAAACTGGCATGTGAGCATCTAAAAACACAAATCTATCCGTTCTCTTTACTCCCTGAATCCTGTTTGTTGAAGCTGATGCCCATTTCCAGCAGTCCACAGTGTTACTGTGAGGATTTTGTTTAATTTTGTGTTTTGTTTTTCTGAGAAGCCACTTGAACTCCTCCTTTAAACCGATGGAGGAAATACCTCCATCTGTATTATTTATTTGTTTATTTTACAATTAGGAAGTGTTATAAGTGTGATGTTACACAACACCCACAGCAAAATATTTCTTCTGAAGATGAACAAACACCTTTACAGCTTCAGTTAATTACTCGCCCTCATGCCAGTTAAAAGACAAGTTCAGTTTGTCCATATACCTCTCTAACATTTACCGCTGCACACTACTGGAGAGAGACAACATTTTTCATTGTTCAGTTCAAACTTTCCAAGTTTTTGTCATTTGATATTGCACCCAATAAATGTTGTTTTGGAAATTCTAACCGTTCACTTTTACTTACTACTCTTACTTTAAGTACATTTTATATGAGAAATCTACTTTTGATACTTAAGTACATTAAACGTCAGATACTTTAAGACTTTTACTCAAGTAATAATTTTTAAAGGAGACTTTAACTTTTACCAAAGTAATCTTGTACTTTCATTGAAATATCACTGAGGTACTTCATACATAAATTATGGGATTTGCCTGGTTCAATAAAGGTTAATAATAATAAGACATTTGCATTTAATCTGCATTTAATTCTTAAGTCTTTGTTTGCAGGCGAGCTGAGAGAGTGTTTGTGTCCCATGCAGGTGGGACCTGTTGAAGCAGATTAACAGCAGGTTTAAAGGTGGTGTTTATCTTGTATCCAGCAGTGATCCATGGTGAGTCTGTGATCCTGGTCTTCTTGTTCCTGGTGCATCATTCTGTTGCCTTTCAGTTCTGTGTTGCTAAATGCCTCCTCTGCTCTAGCCTACATTATCATTATACTGAAGATGTAAGATTGGCAAATCAACTCCGTCCAGTGTTCATGCTTGCCTGTTCCACTCTCTCCAGTCTAGCCTGCTCACCTGTACTTACCTTGGTTTGTGGAATCCCTTGCCTCCTCTTCCAAACCTGGAACAATGGAACGACATTAGAATCTTAATATCTTAATATCTTATCCTAATCCGTTCCCCTTCTATTGTAAATAAATCTGTTCTTGTCTGAGCCTGCGTTCTTGGTTTCTGGTAACACGAGCACAAATATACACAACTATATGACTACGTTTTCATGATAAAACTTAAGTTTGAAAAGTTTACAAAGATGTGCATTTGAAAGTAATAAAAATTCAAATTTCTTGTTAAAATGTTGATATTAAAGCAATATATTCATCCATCAACAAATATGTGAAATGACAGAAATAATTCCCTTCTTACATATAATTTAACACGGCTTGAAAATAAATGTTCGTAAATTGGTCTTTATTTTACATAAGAAATGTACAAATTTGCACAATCTTTTTGTGATTACAAGAGTATTTTCTTGTATTTGAATAATACATAAAACAATTCTGTTAAACCAAAAAACATTTTCAAAAAAGACTTATTGTTGTTTTCTGCAGTGCAGAATCTTACCCGATGAAGCTGCTGTCTTGCTGATTGGAGCTGTGATCCTACAATACATCTAAAATACTCATCTGAAACTTAATATCAGATGGGCAATGTCGCTTTTAGCTCACAACACATGATGTCATATCACAGTATGAGACCATTGGTTTATCAAGACAGTCCAAAGCCCCATGTTCTTTCACTTTTGCATGTGAGACACAGTCATGCATGATATTTTGTTGATTAGGGATTCTAAGTTCAATGCAAAAATCAACTCTGACATGTTCCTGTTTTAGTTTTTTATTCCGTTTTATAATGTAGCATGTTTTTATTTAGTTTTATTTACTTTTCATTCTATATGCTTTTTAAATATGTTTATTGTTGTGTGTACCTCACCTGTGGTTTTTGTTTAAAACAGGTCGCTCTTGTAACGAGTCCTTGTGACTCAGTGAGACTAACCTGTATAAATAAAGGTTGAACGATAAAATATATTGAACATGTGACCTCAGGTACCGTGGAGTTGATAACACTCCATCTAGACAAAAAACCCAAACAACTAGATTTGCAATGGCAATAAATAAATAAATAATAAGTATGAGTGCTATGTGTTATTGTTGTATGTTTCCATACAATGATGAAACTGGTTGTCTGCAATATACCCATTGCACCTGGGCTACACCCAGGTGGAGCAGTGGGCAGCTGTTGAGTGCCTGGGAAGCAATTAGGGATTGGGTGTCGCTCAGGGACACCACGACTTGTGGGGATGGCTGAGAGTCGAGCTGCAACTTTCTGGTCCCAGGTCAGCTGCCCTGCCTCTACCCCATGCCTTGCCTCTCGGCCCCTAATAGTGCTGCATGCAGAGGTTTCAACCATGTCTTTGCAGCTACTCTCACACAGTCAGGGACACTTTTTTTTACATTTTGTGTTAAAAAAGTGCAAAATGTATGACATGTTGGCAAACATCACAAGTAATGTGACCAAAGTCTAAACCATGCATGCATAACTAACAGTTTAAAGTCAGTAATGTTTTTAGGCAAAATACCAAACCACACATTTCCTACAATTTGCTCTTCAATCTGAAGCTTTTTGGATCAAATGATGTGATAAACTAATGAACTCAGTTGGTTTTGAGGTTTACGTTTTGCTTTGGTTAAGTGAAAGCATTTGTGAGTTGCATTGATCACAACAACAAAAACTTTGTTTGGTACCTATGGAAAGACCTGGTCTTGGTGCAACACTACCGCAGGATTCTATGACCAGACTTTCTTGACACTATCAAAATGGTTCAGTTTAAGCTTGGCTAACAATACAAAATGATTTAACTAACTAAAAGTATATTTGGAAGTGTTGTACACTTTTTTTTTAATCAAAAAAGGTAATCATAAAATTCCTGTTTGAGGTGATGTATTTGTCAAACTCCTGATATTTATTTCTACCTAATGAACATGAAGCTGAGAAACAAACAGGTTTTGTAAAAAAATCATAATACAAAATATCAATTTCAGAATTTGCATAAAAAAAAGTGTGGCTTTTTTCCTTTCAGAGATTGTGGGTCAAATTGTTGATCAGAAACTGATCATAGTTCTTATGAAAATAAACACAACTGGGACCAAAACTCCATTAAAGTTTGACACAAATATCAAACTAAAACAAACAAACAAACAAAAAAAACGTTTGTATTTATAATCAGATTTTTTATCAGTATTAGTGGCATGTTCCCACTTTGGCTCACAAAAAATAAATCGTATCATCAGCAGCATTAATTGTGATAGCTTCGTTCACACTCTTTACAGGTGTGTACCTGAGGTTTTATTGAAAGTGAAGTTATGGTAGGTGTCATCTAAAAATATATTTGGGAACAGGGCTTGTTCAAAATGGTTTCCAGTTCAAAAATCTGTCTGCAAGAACAAGTAAGATGATCTTACTCGCTGACAATTAAATTAGGCATCCAGATGAAGTGAAATTATGCTATAAAGGTTATGGCTGTACTGTCATGATCACAGCGTGCTTTCTCTACACTTTCAAATCAAAAAGTCTGCTGCAAAATAGGCGTATGAAAGATGAAATTGAAGGAGATGGCAGTGTGGGCACGCTGCTGGTGTCACTAAAGTATGACTCACCTTCAGGCTGGGATACAAGCACTGATTTCTGTCTGTGACAAAGGGCCAAATTGGTTCTCACCAAAAAAATGAACTCACATTTCATTATTTTATGCAATCACTGATGCATTATGATACTTTCTTTCTGCTTGATTATTAGAAAAAAAAATGCATTTCATTGAATCTCACAAAGACCATTTAAAAAAGTACTTCCCCTCTTCCCCTATTGCAGCACCCCAGACTGAAGAAGTCTTCTGGATAAAAGATGAAACGTTTCAACAAGAAAAATCCGTCCAGAGGACCTGACTTAACTTTGTTAGATACTTCCCCTCTGTTTCTCCAGCTCCTTATACCCTGTCAGGGTCTGAGATGATTCTGCTGGGTTCCAGGATTCACAGGTTCTTCTGTCACAGGAGAAACCCAGCACCTGGAAGTGTTCAAGGCTGAGGGCCTCGTTGGTGTCTGTGGGGACACATAGTTGTGCAATAATGCTCTAAGCCAGGTTGAGCTGAGGTCATTCAGTCCAAAGTTCATCTATCCAGCAGGATGAGCAGGGCTCAGACATGGTCCAGTTTCATGGCCAGCAGGAGCTGCATGCACATCTTCACAAGCAGTCAGCAAGTGGGTTGGTGGCCTGCTCCTGGCTGATAATCAGCTGAGAGCCCACATTTCTCCATCTCTCCATCTGATGTTTGTGTCACATGGTCATGGTCCCTTACGTGACTGGAATCCTCAAGTTTCCACCTTTAGGCCTCTTTCCACAATAATACCCAGTTTTAATAATAAGAGCATTTTTTTGGGAAAGAAAATAGAGTTTAAGAGAAGGAATCAAGATCAAGATTTTTCCTTTATCACATCATTTTATCTATTCTTTATAGGAGTACGGTATTACACTATTCAGGTAAAACACTGAACAGAAGTTTGCTATAGGCATCAAGTTGCTTATTTAGTTCTTTATCTCTGGAAAAAAATATTATATGCATCACTGCTCCTACCACACAGTTTCTCATCACTCGCCTATCTACGGAAGGAACATCTTTATTATTAGTCCTAACTTTGACACAATCTGTGCTTTCATTTATAAATGGAATGCTTGATTTTCAGTTCTTCTTTTGCTGTGGTTTATCAGTAGCAGAAGTAAACTGCAAACTTCACAGAAACAGACCAAAATGGGAACGACTACATTTTTACCAGATTAGTTGCTTACAGTAAATTTAAAATTAACTTTATGAAAAACAAGCACCAAATTTTTAAATAACAGTTTTCTCTCATGTAATTTGTTGATTTAGCTTCATGAAGGGCAGAAGGGGAGGTCGGTTCTCTTTAGAGTTTCATGTTCATGATTAGCCAGTTTTTTATTAACAAAATCAGATACTTCAGATTTAATTATTACACTTTTGTTTCTAAAAAGTTTAAATACGTTCTACTATTTCAATATTTGCAACACAGCACATTGAATTTATTTACATGAAAAATACAAATGTAAGCATTTGAATCAATGGTTCATATTTTAAACTTTTAGGGGGTCTCTGTTGAATAAGATGTAAACAAATGATGGGCAACCATGAAGCCAAGTGCAAATAAGATCACACAGTTTTGTGGCAGCCTGCTGTATAAAATAATATACATTGCATAGTGCCCTGCACTTCTTTATGAATTTATTTGTTTTAAAAGGGAAATAAAAAAATAATTTTTGGACAAGATTTTATCATGATCGGCTCCGTGTGTGGGACCCAAAGTGCAGGAAGACGAATGAAGCTCCAGTAAATAAGTAAAATAGTTTATTAATTAAATAAACAAAACAAAATGCTGTCGGGGCAGCAAACTTACTTTAAAGGAGGACACAAGGAGAGACAGGTCATGAAGCCTTAGGACAAGGACAATCCAGAGACACTGACAAGACACCAAGAGGCTGAATATATACAGACACTAACAAGGTGAAATGAGTGACACCTGCGGTGATTAGAATTAGACACAGGTGCAACAGTGCTGGAACACAGGAGGAGAAAAGCTGAGGGGTGACAGGCAAACATGAGGAAAAACACAACATGTAAGACAAGACCCCAGAAACCCTACAGATTTCCAGTTAATGACTGAATCAGTGCTGCAGGGCCTCATTAGTGGATAGACCTGACCAATCAGCATCTCTCGTGTGATGAAGAAACTATCCAGCCAGTCATCTGGACTTCGTTTTTTTTGTTAAAAAGAAACGTTTCGCCCCTCGTCCAAGAGGCTTCGTCAGTCTGAGGCCTAGCCATCTGGTATTACCCAGAAGCCACCCTGACTCTTGTGTTTCAAGCCTGCCTCAGATACCCCTGAAGTCTGGCCTTTTCACTAATGGTTTCAAAAACACAAAGTTTGTTTTCTCAGTCATCCAGGTATATAACAACAAAAAAGGTTGAATCATGTCATCTGGACTTCGTTTTTTTTTTTTTTTTTTTATACCTGGATGACTGAGAAAACAAACTTTGTGTTATCCAGCCAGTGTTTCAAAATTGAGCTATGGTGGGACCAGGCATTTATAGTACCATAAGTAGCCCAGATGAGCTGGTAAGTATGACAGATCATAGTCACATGGCAAGCTGTGTCATGATCACTGGTCTCTGCGTGCTTCCCATCTGTTTGTGTTTCTGCCTCTTCATGCCATGGTCACAGTCTTCTGTCATTCTGCCATGCCAATTCTTTACTTGCTGATCATCAGCGCTTATTCACCGCACCTGTTCATGCCCATATTTAAGGAGTCCTCTCACCACTCCTATCCACCAGATTCTCGAACCCTTTGTGGTTGTAGATGTCCAGCATTCTGTTCACAGTATTTTTGGATCTTCTCATCTTGATCTCACGCCTGCCTCTTGGAAACCCCTATCTGCCTGCCCCTTGCCAACTCTTGTTTTGCCTCTCTGACCTTGCTAATGACTACTTCTTCTGGCCCATTGACTGCAACTCAGGGATTACCTCAAGGATGTGATATCTAACCTCCCGTGTATGACCCCCCCCCCCCCCCCCCCCCGGCCCCTGTACTCCTGGACCTTGTTGTTGGATTAACCCCCTGACCACAGTCTTCTCAGCTTTGCTCTGCAGCTACGCAGCATCCAGTGGTGGTGATTAGGGGTGCACCGATTGCAGATTTCTGGCCGATCACCAATCACAGATCACTAAAAAGTCTGACCTGCCGATTCCGATTTTAGCCGATACCGATTTTGTGTTATAAGCAACACTGTCAGGTGTTATAAGGTCACAATGCACTTTCAATTTTCCAACATTATTTTGTTGAAAAACATACTCTTGAATAATATCCTAGAAACAATACAAACTTGTTTTAACTGGATATGATGTAGTGCTCTGAAATATAAATGAAGTTCAGACAATTGCCGTTAAAACAAACAAAAAAAATTGGTAAAATCGGTTTGTCATGCAAGTATCGTCCGATTTCCAATTTCCTAAAATTAAGGAAATCTGGGCTGATAAATTGGCCAGCCGATTTATCGGTACACCTCTAGTGGTGATGTAATCTTGCCCAACTTCTACAGGTGGCCCCCACTTCTCTTGCTTGAGAAGATCAGTTCCAACACTGAACTCTGACCTCCACCAGCAGCTGCATGCATCCTAAACCCCGAACCTTGTCAGTATAATCTGGCCAATATGGATTATTTGTCCACACAAGAGTGACTCTCTGGCGTCGAGGGCTCCATAGTTAATTTGGACATTCAACTGCAGAAACCATGATCTCCCTGCCAGCTGTTGCCTCTGTGGTCTCTTCACCTGCAGCAGATTTCTTGGTCCCATCTGCAGCTGAAGACCCCTCATCTCCTGTGTTGCCAGCACCTTCTCCTCTGCCATCCTCTGCACTGTTCATTCTACTGAGGCTGATCCTCCTGAGTATTCAGCTCTGCCGACGAAACGACGGGGACTTGGTGACAGCCCACCCACCTTCGTCTCCCAGTGGGTTCCACAACATCTCTGGAGGGTTCCATGCCTCTGGAGTCGTTAGGCCAGGAGAAGTAGTCAATAGTGAGGTCAGAGAGGCAAAATAAGAGTTGGCAAGGGGCAGGCAGATAGGGGTTTCCAAGAGGCAGGCACAAGGTCAAGACGAGAAGATTAAATAAGTCTGTGAACAGAATGCTGGACATCTACAACCACAAAGGGTTTGCTAATCTGATGGAGAGGAGTTGGGAGAGGAGTTGGGAGAGGAGTCCTTAAATATGAGCATGAACAGGTGTGGTGAATAAGCGCTGATGATCAGCGAGTGAAGAGTGGGCATGGCAGGTGACAGAGGACTGTGAGCATGGCATGAAGAGGCTGAAACATGAACAGATGGGGAGCACACAGAGACCGGTGATCATGACAAGCTGTATACGTGTTGTGCAGCCGTTATCATGATCTGCCTTTTTTTTCAGTGTTTACTTTTCTGTTTCGAGATTTGTTCTCATGTTTGTGTTTTATGAAGTTTGGATTCTGTGTTTTCTTTGTACTCAGTTGTTTTTTCATCACCTCCCTATGTTTTTCTCTGCGCCATCAGTCAGTTTATTTCTAAGCCACATCCAATGACAATAAATGACAAATAAATAAATTATACATGACAATAAAAATAAATAAATAAAATAAAATACAAATATATAAATAAATAAAATGAGTAAATAAAGAATAAATGACAATGAAGAAACAAACTTGAACTTGAACTTAACATCCAGTCAAACCTGCACCTTAAGCTCAGCTGTCTCCCATTTCCTCGTCATCCCCAGTTCATATAGTTGTACAGTTTTCATACACTCTGCAGTGGAGCATTATGCGTTGTACATGTCAGTTTTTTTCTGTCACTTCTGTGCAGTCTTCTATGTTATAGACCTTTTGCTGCTACACCAGACTTTGCTTTATGTTCCAACAAAGTTACTTTTGTTTTTATTGAAGCTCCTCATGATGATTTGCACCTTTTACAACAATGGCAGCAAGAATACAAACTGTATTTAAGTTTTATTTATTTTGTGTTTGGTAGTTGTACTTTAGTTACACTGAAGTGCACACAAATCTTGAAAGCTTGGGTCTGTAACTGTGCAGCGACAAATAGAAAGAACAATTTGGAGCATTCACATAAGAGCTGTCACTTTTTTCTTTTTAATAAACACTTGCAAGAAAAGTCTCTTAATTGGTTGGTTCAGTTAAACTGTCTTCATCTTGACTTTTTTAAATCTTTTCTTCCTCTGCAGTGTGTTACATCTTCATTTTTATAGTTGGAAAATAACAGTGGGCAAAGTATCACAGATGTCTAAATGTAGCATTTGAGAGATTTTAGATAATTTATAGCATGTGTGATTTGCTCACAAGCTCATTAAAAGGAACTGAGAAGTCTTGCACCACAGTGGGTTCTCAGAAAGACATTAAGAGAAACAACCATGTGTTAACTTCATGAATAGCTGATGATGTTATCCAGTATGCTGCAGTAAGTGTGATGTTTATGGAAATATTTTCAGTTAGAATAGATCAGCCACCGCAATCCTTTCTCATCCTAAATGTTGTTTTTCTCAAGTTCAAGAATATTGCTAAAAATTACATACACTACAATTTTGCGCAGCTGTTTTATTTATTTATTTATTTATTGTTGCTGCACAACTTTATAATTCACATTTTAAATTTGGATTTATTCTAGGTGTGAACATTATTTTTCTTCATCATATTATTATTTTAACATAAGAACTGTCTTGTCTTTTTTCTTCGTAAACTGTATTTTATCTATATAGTTCTTTTATCCCATTCATTCATTAGGATGTAATGTTTTTAATTTGTACATCTGATTGAGTTGCAATTCTTTATGGTGCTTTGACCAACATGTATACCAGAGTCTTGAGTTATTAAATCAAGTGTAGAACCACCACAGCTGATTCAAGCTGTTTATTTCCAGGTATAGCATACTCTTCTGAACCTTCAGTTCATTTTAGATAATATACATATATATATATCCATCCATCCATTATCTTTACCCACTTATTCCATTTTGGGTCACGGGGGTCGCTGGTGCCCATGTCCAGCAATCACTGTGCGAGGGGCGGGGTACACCCTGGACAGGTCGCAAGTCCATCACAGGGCCACATAGAGACAAACGAGACAAACAACCATTCACTCTCTCACTCACACCTAGGGACAATTTAGAGTTACCAATCAGCCTAACATGCATGTTTTTGGTCTGTGGGAGGAAACTGGAGTACCTGGAGAAAACCCACGCATGCACGGAGAGAACATGCAAACTCCACCCAGAAAGGCCCCAGGACCGGGGTTTGTCACATTTTGTAACTTCCGATCCGATCCCGATACCTGAATCAGGATATCGGCCGATACTAATCCCGTTCCAATATCATCATCATTATTGATTTTATATGAGGCTGTAATAATCTCCTCTCTACAGGTAAGTACAATTTGTACACATATGCATGTCCAAAAAGGCAACATGGGGTACGTTTTATTAATGTTGTATAAGTTTCAAAGTTAGAATTAAATCCTGCTAACACAAAACATGTTGTTATTTTATTCCTAGCTTTAACGTGGATATTAAAGTGATTAGATGTCTTTAAACATCTGCTAAATTCATGGCATAAACCAGCACAAACTTGTTTCTGTTTTTAGTATTTTAAATATCTTTATAATGTAGCTGTTTTTGTTTCTTTTTTTTAATATAATTTTATTGTAATTTTTAATTTATATGCTTTTTATGATTGTCTACTAATTGTACTGATACATATCTTCTGGAGGGTAATCTATATCTTGGCTGCAAGTATCAAGCTACGTAATCCTTCGTTTTCTACAACTGATAGTGGCTGGTCGTTAATTACGATGAAGTTTAGCAACTTCTCTGTAAAATTATCGGTGTCGGAGCCCGATACCGATATTGGATATGATCGGCCCCATCCCTAATATATGTATAAAACAAAAACTTAAAAATATTTTATTTTGGAATTTGTTATGTCAAATTATATTTTATTTTTATGCAAGTAATAGTTGATTCATAACAGTTTACACACATGTCATTAAAACAAATAGTCATGAGCATCAATAGGACGTTCATAGTACACAGTTAGTATATTACTGCCAATTTGTCTGTTGGCAGAGTGTAAAAAGGGTGGAACAGTCCATGAAATAAAATCTGCTGTAGTACCAAATGAGACGAGATAAGCAAACCAAACCTGCCTCTTTGATTTATTTTTATTTGCAAACAGGCTCTTGTGACTCCATGAATTAAAAAAGTTTTAAAATTAAAACACTACATGGCATGTTCTTGAAAATAAGTAGTCTTTTAAAAACTGTATATAATGGATTATCTATACTGTAGCTGATCTATGAGAGCTGAAAAATTAATATATATAACAAAGCGAGATTAAAACAGTAACCCTGAAACTATGAAATGAACCAAACCTTTAACCAGAGGCATCACCAAGCAAGATCAAAAGTTAGTAGATGATAAATGATGATTATGAGCATGATAAAATGATTATGTGCATTGATAGAAGACACCCTGATGCGTGCTCAAGAATCCAGGTAGAAAAATCTTAAAACATGAAGTCTGGTCCTCAGGACGGGTTCAAAAAACAAAAACTTGTAGAATCGTTTCGTCGTTCATCTGAAAGACGCAAATTGGATTTTTCACACATTTCCATAAATGTTGAGGTCTGCTGTGTTCATGTAGTCATCATCGCCAAGGTGCTGTAAAAATAGATATCATAGATGTCGTCTGAAACAATACACTGAATTTAATTCCACAAAATAATTTCATATAAAATAAAACGTACCTCGTTGTAATTGTAGGATTTTGGCTGGCTAAATTCCAACATAAAAACATTGACATGAGACATTTTACACTTCATATGAACATAAACATTATGGTTCAGTCCCGGTGAAGTCATTACCTTTTGGGGGACGGCAAACGAGGCTTAGAGACTTTTTGTTCACCACAGGAATTTGAATATGCATTATTGGGACTGTGGATGAAAAGAAAATATATTGTTACAGTCAGAAAAGAAAAAAATCAGTACTTTGGTCCTGTGGGTGTTGCTCTTTAAATAAAGCTGGTGTTGTATGGTAATTATTCTACTAACATTTTTATATGTATCAGTCTTACCTACGACCTTTGTCCATATTGTCTCGTGGAGGTCTCCTGTTTCACACAAAGTTCCATATATTTCATTTTGAAATGTGCTTTAGTTGTTACAATTTTAAACATTCAATGAAAAATCAATTGAATGGCAAAGTTTTTTTTTTTTACTCACAGTAAGATTTTGACAAAAGCATGAAAGATCTTTATAACTTACCTTGAAAATCTGCTCCAAATTGACCTTCTGCTGACAAAAAAAAGAAGAAGTGAAACTATGCAAATGTTTTAAGACACATTTTATCCAAAGCCATAAGAAGGCATACTTATAAAGACAAAAGTTGGCTTGTTTGTCCAAAGTTGCAGAACAGAACGTTTCATATTAGTCAGTAACTTTACAACTATAGTGTTTAGAGAAGTACAGAAGTTTAAAATGTTTTGCCTTTGCTCAGATCCAAGTGATCCTCCATCTGTGGTTCTACCGCCAGAACGAAGCCTGAAAATTTCACACACATGAGTTTAATGTTAATATCTTGAAAATAATGTTACTCACAATCTGATGAATGTGTTAGTGAGCAATTAATGTGTTGAGGATGACTCTCAGCTACTACCACATGAAACTTAATTACAGCTAATTTAGTGTTTTCTAACTTTGAATTCAAGTGACTCCAATAGACAGACGCACAAAACTGACTTTCTTAGAGTTCATAGAAATCCATCAGCTGGTTCATGAGATATTTTGCTAACAGACAAACAAATGAATGCATGCATACACATACAGACAGAGGAAATTACAAGAACTCCCGCCTTTCATTGCAGCAGCCTCTAATCATTGTTTTCTCACCTACGAGACATTCTGGACATCCGGTTCCACACGCTAAATATCAGAAACAGGAAACAGAAATATGTTACAAGAAAAATAAGATATATTTTTTAATTTTGAACATTTACATTTTTACCTGCCATCCTGGTTTTGAAGCTCCTCAATGCGCGTCCTTGAGCAAACCAAACAATAATTTTGCTTTAAAACGTTGTTCCTCCATAAATATCTCTTCAATACTTCGTTCTTACTTACTTGTACTTTTTCACCATCAAAATGCAGAGGCCTCCAAAGAGCAGAGCAGTAGCTAATGCCACTGCGATAGGAATGATGATGTGATTATGGTTTATAATACCTGCAGACAGAATTAATAGGGATTGTCCTTTAACTTGCAACACTAAGACATGAACCAGCACACGGTCAAAAGTTTACATCCTCTAGAATAAAGAGTAAGTACGTTTCACGTTGAGTGTTAAACTCGTATGGGACTGCGCCCCTCCACTGAAGAGCGCTGAGCACGTCAGCTCAGTGTCGTCATCCTTCTCCTGAGGAATAAACGTCAGGATGGACTGTGTCTCCCATATCCCAGCACTCAAGTCTTTATGAATCTCGGTGATCTCCTCCGTGGCTCCCTTACTCCACGTCAGTTTGGGCATGCGTGACGGACAGGTATGGCGAACTGAACATGTGATTGTGAAAGGTTTTTCAGGAATGGCCACCTTAAATGGTCCCAGTGTAGGTTTTGGAGGCTCATCTATAAATAGACAAAAGCAGATGTGATTTAGGGAGTGTGTGGATTTAATAAACATACGGATTATAAAATTGTGAAAGTGTAGTGACATACAAAGCATGGTGATCTCAACACAGTCTTCAACAAAAGAGAACTTGTTCGCGGTGGGCTTGTTGTCATCTGTTTTAACCAGTTCGATCCGGAAACAGAAAGGGCCGTTGTCATGATTTTTAACCTGCATTATTTCTAAGGTGCAGTTCGCCTGACCAAGGTGTCCCAACAGCTTTGTTCGCTCCTTGAAGCTGTCCAAGATTTTTGTGTTATCATCATGGTAGATGATTTGGTTTCTGTCGTTTTTATGATGCCAGATGCCTCTGAGTCTTGGGGAAGACAAAGCTCCATGAGGATGCTTGAATGAGCAGGGCACCACAGCACAGGAGGAAACCAGGGCTTGAAGGTTGTGTACAACAGAGGCCGTCCAATCTTCAGAAAGCACAAGGCTACAAACACCTACAAAGGATACAACATCAGTGAAAAAGAATCAATTAACTGACAAACTGTTCATGTTGAGAGACCGTAAAAAATGAGGAAATAGTTGCTACCTGCCCAAAACAGAGATAATATGATCATATTCCTCTTGTTGTCCATTCTTCTTGAGGTGGTGCTGATAAAAACAAATCTAGGAAGTTTTAGGCTGGTTAAAGAACATAGAAAGAGATCGTAAGTACAAAGTATTATAAATTGCGATGTAGTTTTGAAAACTCTTGCCCGGCTTGTGTGAAGGAATGTGCTGTGCGGTGAGCACTCAGACTCAGATGCTGTGTGAGCTGAGCCATAAGCTGGACGTGATTTATGAGAATCGCAGGCCACTTGCTGCTCCTGAAACTCGCTGGCGGGAAGGAATCAACCTTGGAGAAGCTACAAACTTGGCCCAGCAATGCTGACCACAAAATTTGGCTGCTTGTGGTCACCATTGAGACGTACCAGTAGAACTATAAGGCAGACAGAAATCAAGTAGAGTCAGTCTGACCCAAAATAACTGTTGTTAACGGAAACTGGCTCCCCCATCGGCCTTGAATTGGCCATTTATCTCAAACTCTCCTGGATGTTATGTGAACAAGAAGCTCTGCTCTCTCCTCCCCATACCCGCTCCCTTCCCGAGGACATCTGTGGACATGTATCAGAGCTGAGCCGGCTGATAGACACAGGTCCATCTCTTATTAGGACTATGGGACTATCTGGCACTGTCCACAGACGAACTCACCTCCTTCGTCGGCCTTCCTCATGCGTATATGTATTATGATGTCATCAGTATGTTGCTGTTTGTGTGCTGCTTCTTTTTTTTTTTTTTTAACTTGTGAAAATATGATATACGTGTGAGATATGTTTTTTTTTATATCTCCCTTTCCCTCGTGATTCTCTTATGGCAGCGCCTCCCATGAGGCTGCGGCCTCAGACACTCCGTCTTCCCATGCCTGTTGTTTATGTTTTACTCGGATGGGCTGTACTGAAATGTAAATTTGTTGTGTTTTGGTGCAATGACAATAAAGCTGATTCTGATTGTGATTATGATAAATTCTGCACAATTTTTCACAAACAAAACAAGTCTTTACTCCAATTTCTTTTTTCTGAGACGCATAAACATTTTCATTTATTCTTCCAGACTAAAGCTCTTATTTTTCACGAGTTAAAATGATAATGATCATTAATTCTTGAAGTTAAAATGCAGAGTTTTTGACCTAATATATATTTCAAGAAACATACATGGCAGACTACCTTAAAACAATTTTGTCCTATTACACTGTTCGAGGAAGTTAGTATATCCCATGTTCATGGATTTTGTGGAAAAGTTATGGATAGTTAATGTCTTACCTATAGTATATAACTCTTTGTATGTCTTCATTTTGAATAAATATAATAAAATAAAATAAATAAAACAAGAGTTTAAATCTGACTGGATTGATAAGCTAACAGCTCGTCTGGGCATGACTAACACTAAAGAAGAATACTATGAAATAATTTCACTTAAAAAAATTAACTGACTTTTTTTGTCAGGAATGTTTTACAGTGTCTGCCGTAATTATTGTGTAATTCAAATGTGATCATAAATTAGCTTTTGCATAAAACACAAAAAAAAATATTGTAATACTGTAGGTTTTTAGACATTCATATATTTATATATATATATATATA